AGATATATATATATATATATATATATATATATATATATATATATATATATATATATATATATAAAATACCGTACAAGCTTGGCTGGCATATCTTTTTATGTCCTTGTCTAGTTGTCTTTGTATTATATTATACGATAGAATAGACTAGAATCATTTTAATTCTAACCCATTGTTCTCGAGGGTTGACCTACTTTTTTCAAATTAAATTTATTATTTTATTATATGGCGATCCTTCATCAGATCTGAATTTATTAATAAAAAATGGACTTTGACAGATACGAAAATATCCCATGAAACTTACCCAAACTTGCATTGTAACAAATTGAAAATTTTAAAATTAAAGAATTTCTGAATTGTATTTATGAAATGAAACTGAGAGAGGTACTATTTAGCTAGAATCGGCTAGAGGATGATCCAACATTTGAATTTATGAGTTCTAAAACCTAAAAAATAACTTACTTAAAATGAATAATGTGAAAACTAGAGTTTATATGAAAAGAATTAACTCGTCAATTTGTTGTAGTCATGGTACCGTTTAAATACATACACCATCATGGATGAACTATATCTACAGCTTGTGATAATCCTATTTACATGAATGAGTTATCTACAAGGATGAGTTACTTATCCATTAGAGTCCTAGTATAACTCTCCGATTCTTGTTGATACTCCCCCTCAAGGCGGCACATATGGATTAAAAATACCCATCTTGCCAAGGAATGTATGAAAATCTCGTTGTCCCAACGCTTTAGTGAACATGTCTGCTAACTCAGCTTTTGTTGAAACATGACAAGTGACCAAGTCCCCCGAGGCAATATGTTCGCGCACAAAGTGACAATCCGCTTCTATGTGCTTCGTACGCTCATAAAAACCATGTTGGATGCAATATGCAATGCAGCATGGTTATCATAAAATAACTCTGAGGGCATCGTTTCTGATACCAAGCTGTCACGATCCAAAATTCACTATAGGTCGTGATGGCGCCCAACGTCGCTGTTAGGCAAGCCAACATTGAACTTTCCATAATTTTTCATGTTTAAATACGTATATAATTCATCTTATTAACTTGCAATAAGTAGGAATCACTTACCTCTTTTTGCTCGATGAAAATCTCCTCAAAATAGCTCCCGGCCAACCCAAGTGAAAATGAAAGAAAATCCCGTCTTAAATCCAAATCTGCCCAGGTAATCTCGCTTCTACGGTTCCATGGTCGCTTCTACGACAGCCACTTCTGCAGCATAAAGCTCGCACCTGCGAGAACCCAGCCCAAGTCGTCGACTGCATCTGTGGTCCCTGTAGCACTTCTGCGTTGCCTCATCCGCAGGTGCGATTCTGCTCCTGTGGCAAACGACCGCATCTGTGGTCCCAGCACTGCCCAACCAAAATTTGATTTTGCGCTTGCTTGGTCGCTTCTGTAGCGTCGCATCTGCGACCCTTTTTCCATAGGTGCGATTGCATCAGTACTCAAGCCCTTCAGCAATACAACAAGGTTCTAAAATGATCTGCGACTCGTTTAAAACACACCCGGGGCCCCCGGGACCCCGTCCGAACTTACTAACAAGTTTCAAAACATGATACGATACTTAGTCGAAGCCCGAATCAAGTCAAACAACATCAAAATTACGAATTGACGATCAAAACCTTTCTTTAAGCTTTCAAATTTTTAAACTTCGCCGAACACGTCCGAATTATACTTAAACATCCGGAATGACACCAAACTTTACGTGCAAGTCATAAATCACAATACGAACCTATTCCTAGGCTCGAAATTCCAAACGGACATCGATAACACAAGAGTCCACTTCAAGTCAAACTTAGGAATTTCTAAAACTTTCAAAATGCAAACTCTCCACAATAAGCGCCAAAATGCTCCCGGGCGACCCGATACTCAACCCGAACATACGCACAAGTCTGAAATCATCATATGAACATATTGGAACCTTCAAATCTCGATCCCGAGATTGTTTACTCAAAAGTCAAACCTTAGTCAACTCCTCCAACTTAAAGCTTCTAAATTGAGAATTTTCTATCCGAATCAACCCCCAAATTGAATTCCGACCACACGTACAAGTCATAATACATGAAGTGCAGCTACTAAAGGCCTCAAACCACCGAACGACGTGGTAGAGCTCAAAATGACAGGTCTAGCCATTACATTCTCCTCTACTAAAACATACGTTCGTCCTCGAATGTGACAAGAACCGTTCTGGGGTTGACAAAAAAAATCACTATTTAACACCTCGTGCACCTGCCCGTGCCACCAGAACGCACGTGAGTACATTAGCTCAAGCCAGACTAAAGATCCTCCCTTTTACTTTAACCAACAAGTCTTAGGACCAAATTCCAACATCTGAATTTCTCTACAAGACCTGATTCTAACATACGAACACCTTATCAATCTCCACAAGCACCAAAAACATGATCATACACCAATGATGATATCACTCAATGCACCACATATCTCATTTTCTCATGGTAACCTCCTCCAAGCACAACAACTGCAAATTTACTAACACGATGCCCGTAGTATACCTCATAATGTGTATAAGCCCTTATCTAACCTTAGCAATACCACAATGATGAAAACGACACGTAGAAGCTCATAACCACCTGCCAAATCAAAATTTCCAAGATTTTCTCCACTCGACAAGAACCATTCCTTATTTTGAACGGATCATTGACATTTTCTCTTGAATATACCTTACATAAATTTGATCATACTGCTTTTAGGTCCAATGACCTCGCCTTACCTAGTACAAGTTGCTCAGATAATAGCCACCTCAAACACCGACTAAAATCTCATATGACGCTACCAATGCGCCAACAAACTACAACTCAAATATGACACATAAGGAAGAACGAACTTTGACAAAGAACTACCTAGCTCGCATAACGAATAAACGGCCAACAGATGCTATTAAACCTTCCCTAGGGATGAGAAACAAGACACATAAAACAAGTGTAGGGGACCGTACTCAATTGCGGCGTGAAACCCGATCCACACATGTTACTGTTGCGGCATGCAACCCGATCCAAAAATTATACCTGTGACGACGTGCCACCCGATCCACATATAACAATCAATAAGGAAATACACATCAAGCCATAATGCTCATACTACGAAACACTTGAATATCGACCACAAGTACACCAAGTGCATGAATACGACCCTAGGTAACGGATAGCGCCCTGAGATATAAAACTCAAGCACGACTAAGGTGCAATATCGACTAGCTATACAGGACCACAACACACGTGCGAATAGTCAAGCCTTTCTCACAACCACATAGCATCATAAAGTATTACAGAGAATAGCTGATGATAGGAACATCATCCAACACCTGAAGATTCCTCTATAAGCAATATTATGCTGAATGAACACATCCGGCCTGATGTAGAGCAGACATTCACACTAGATCTACTAACGGACCTCAAGCCGACTTCAGTCATACCATATTGGCAAATAATATTTCAAGGATCCACCATGACCCTATCCATGACACATAAGAGTAGCCATAAAATCTGGAACAAACTCCACAGTCCCCAACCAAAGGGATGGAGTGCCTCTCAGTCATAACCTCTCTCATTGGCGATCGTGCCAAAATCTCCATACCTGATTTAAATCTCTAACAATTGAATTACTAACACGTCACACTAATATGATCTTTTCGTGGGATATATCCCTAAAACCTTTCGCACCAGGTAGCAAAATTTGAACATTAATGGCCATCGACCATGTTATTTCCATAGTGCTAGCCAAACATGCATTTCAACACTCAACACTTCTTCCACCAAAACAAGCCATCCTCAGGCTGCCCAAAAATAGTGCTAGCATACTCTGAATATTTGAAATCTCCCCCCCCCCCC